TCGTTTATTCCGTTCATTTATTTTATTTATATTCTTAATCTCGCAATTACATCGCAAAATTGCGTAAAAATGGCAGATTCTATTAACAGTTTTATTGATCTTGACACCGGCTGTATAAAATATCCTGATGGAGACTTTACTTTTATATTAAACTTTATTCTGTTTAGTTCGCCAAAAGATAGAGTGAGGGCGTTAGTGTGACAGATTTCATATAAAAAAGCTACTGTATTAGAGATCTTCGCGGAATCGACAAGCTACCAAGAAGATGGGCGGAAGTCATAGCAAACGATGGGCAATACATTGGTTAAAGTACTCATTCTTGTTATTTTAAATAAATGTTTCTTTTCACACAAAAATCCCTCAAAATTAATTTATACACCCAATATATTGAGGATACTTTGAAAATCAACGTTTGCGCTAAGTGAATTCAAATTACTGATGGCCAATGAAAGATTTACGACTAGACTTGAAAACTGAGATGGAATTTGACTTTCTGGAATTTGAAAACCGTACAATTTGGTGACTGTATTAAAGACTGTGCTGAAATAGAATTCACTATCGGCTTGCAATTGTTGAAGTACAATCTCGATATCAGCAACACTAACTGAAATATTTCTATTAACTACGCCACCAATATTCCATGAAACATTTCCGTCACCTTCTACTGTTACACTTGTACTAAGCGCTTCAGTAAGACCGCTCACAATGTTCACGAGTACGATGCAAAAGCTTTCAAAATTCAAACTTCCATTGTATTGATTCAAAAATTTCACAATCATTTGCAGATCGACCGAAAGATTGTAAACGTCTGATTGAATGTCTTTTTGCAAAAGACTAACACCCATCCTTGGTTCGATAATTGCTGAACTAAAGCTGCGATATTGGCGATCTTTAATGAGGTTCCTGGGCTCGACGCACCAAATAACAAAGCTACTTGTCCATTAGCACCATCTACTTGAAGCGTGGTTTTAACCGATGCAGGTGGACCAGAGTTTTGTGGTAATACAGCCGAGTTGACAATGCCAATGGCAAGAAAAATTGCAAGTAATTTATGCATTTTTCTTAGATGTTGTTTCTTCTTTTTGCTCGAAAGGCTCTTTGATATTCATTTTTGTAAATTGCCTTAGGTCTTCAGATGGGAGAAGACTTCATGAAACTGATGCTTTCCTCCAAGTTCTCCTCGGTATTTATATAATTTTTGATGCAGAAATATGATGTAACAGTAACAATAGAATGGAATCATAAAATGCGTTAATCTCTTTCATCCATTTCACAGGCATATAAAATCATTGTTTTAACCAAATTTCACTTGAATTGTTTATTACTTCATCTAAATAAGTCAACTTAGTTTATTTCACATTTCATTATATAACAAAAGCTGTCGCTGACGTTTTAAGCAAAAGATTTTTTATCACTAAGTCAAAAGTTATCAATTTTTATTTTCATGAATGAGTTCTCAGGGGTAGAATGTTTGAATATTGGTAAAAAATTGTCTTCAATTTGTTAGATATGAAATTTAGTCAATAGTTGAAGATACAAGTTTTATATGCAGAGTCTATATTTGTGTAGTATTATGTAAATCGCAAAAATTAATCATAAAATACATTTTTCCATTTCAAAAAATCGAAACAATTAAGTAAATAATACTAATTCTCTTTTCAAACTCATCCATTGATTTACACGTGGATTTTTAGCAAATGATAAAATTTGCACAAAGCAAATATGTTATTTAATTTCTCTTTTGCATTTTGATGAATTAAATGATTTTATTGTTTTTGATTAGAAAGAAACTCTTGTTTGAAATTTATAATGACAATGATCTTTTGACTTACAAATATTATCCGCATAGAAATAACGGCAAGTACTTTTCGTATATATGCAATGGGCGAAAGAAATCTTTTTATAGAACAAGAGAGATAGTATACTAAGCCAGCGTTATTTGATAATGTCGATTACCTTATTGTTTTCTATTTTTTAAATTATTTCAGCTTTAATTCAATTCTTGAGGCTGTCATATACGTGGTGATATAATGCTAAAATAAAAATTGATGAAATAGCAACTTTAATCATCAGAATGATGAAGTGTATTTTATATTTTGTGTACCTAATTCTTATACGTAAACAATATCATCATATGATTTGCTTTATTACGTTAAACACAATGAATATTTGAAATGAAAGTGTTAAAAGAAAATAGCAGATTAACCTATGATATACGTGACATATAACACATTTTAAAGATATTAAATTAGAAAACCAACAACAAAAAAAGAGATTAAAGATCGTACGACGTGAACCATAATTTTGACTTTGTTTGCCGAAATCTTGTGTGTTTTTTTTGGGAATGTTTGATGAAAAAACGGGAGGATCTGATTACATGTTTCACCAGCAATCGTTGACCATTGTCCTAGTAATGTGTATTAAAATTGAACTTAATACGTATAATTATAATTCGATTGAGAGTTACAAGCGAACAAGGAAAGTTTAGCGAAAAATGAGATGTTTAAAGCAGCGAAACCATGAATATCAATTTGAATTCAAGTTTTTTTTATAAACAAGAATCGTAGTTAGAACAAAAGTTTGCATTGAGATTTTTAGGAACGTGATGTAAGCTCGACGGAAAGCTCTGATTAAAAATAAAAAAGAAAATCATTTTACATTGTAGATACACACAGAAATTATGCTCCATAAGAGACTGCATAAAATGCAAAACTGTAGCACTGCTAGCGCCACTACGGACAACTATGGAGTTCTAGTCCGTTGGTTGCAACTGAGCAAAAGTCTTTTCACTATTTGGCGGCAACTTAGTGTAGATTACATTGAATTCCGTCGTGGCGCTAGCAGCGTGACAGTTTGGGCATAATTTCGGTACGTGTAGATACAATGAGACGATTTTGCATCGACTATATAGTAAAAACGGTAAACAAACCTCAAAAAAAGTTTAATACCGAATTCTTTCGAAGTTCAATTGTACTGGATCAAATGTCTGCGAATGTCCATAAAAAAGACAGCCGTTCATTCAACCTTACCTTGTTTTGACTGCAAATGCTCAGTTTGAATACAAGTGAACAAACATTTTGCGCCCCAGAAGAAACAATAGACTGGCATTTATTTTGCGAAGTTTTTTTTTAAGAAGCCCCCTTTTCTTTTCATGTGCCATTTTTACACTAAAGATTAAAATCGAATTAGCTTAAGCCAGTATTAAATGTGGAAATCGCACTTATAACAATAAGTATTATTGGCAGTGCAACTTAAAAATGTCGTATTTGTGTCAACTTCTTATGTATCACACGCGCCATTTTTTTGACAGTGACAACAAGTGTATCTTAAAGAGCGTCAAAAAAACTATTAAATTCCATCTGTCAAAGTGAATACAAGTTTATACACACAAGTTTTTTATTGCGTTCAAAATGTCGAATTTCGTTTCAACAAAAGATCATTTGCGGGAAGTTTTAATTTGCTTCTTCCATTTAAAGAAATATGCAACTGAAGCACATCGTTTACTCACTGAAGCCTATCCTGACTACGCTGTAGACGTTAGAATGTGTCAGCGTTGGTTTGCGCGCTTCAAAAGTGGTGATTTCGACACAGAAGACAAAGAACGTCCTGGGCAGCCAAAAAAGTTTGAAGATGAAGAATTGGAGGTATTACTCGATCAAGATTCGTGTCAAACTCAAGAAGAACTTGCAAAATCATTAGGAGTGACTCACCAAGTCATTTCAAAACGTTTAAAAGCATTAGGATTCATTCAAAAGCAAGGAAATTGGGTACCACATGAATTGAAACCAAGAGACGTTGAAAGACGAAGTATTCATTGTGCTAAGGTAATGCTCTGTATTTGGTGGAATCAGAAGGGTGTCCTCTATTATGAGCTGTTAAAACCGGGTGAAACGATCACGGGAGACCTGAATAGAACACAATTGATCCGTTTAAAGAGAGCATTGAACGAAAAACGGCCAGAATATGCGACCAGATATGAGTCAATAATTTTCCATCATGACAACGCTTGGCCTCATATTGCTCAACCGGTTAAAAACTATTTGGAAAATAGTGGATGGAAAGCTTTGTCCCACCCGCCGTATAGCCCAGACATTGCCCCTTCTGACTATCACTTGTTTCGATCGATGCAGAATGCCTTGTCTGGAATACGCTTCACTTCAATTGAAGTTATCAAAAATTGGATTGATTCGTTCCTAGCCTAAAAAAATGAGCAGTTCTTTTGGCGCGGAATCCATATGCTGCCAGAAAGATGGGAGAAGGTTATAGCTTCCGATGGCCAATACTTTGACATGTTATTTACAGAATTTATGAAATAAAGTTTTATTTTTACCAAAAAAAACGACATTTTTAAGTTGCACTACCAATATTTGAATGGGGTAGAATAAAAACTACTTCTCGAAAAATTGGTATTTTAAAACGAAACCTAAAAAAATTTCATTAAAAAGTGAATCAATTTTTTTTTGTCCAATTGAAGTGAATCAAGAAAATTTTGTTCAATAAAAGTGAACCAAAAAAAAAAAAATTCAGTCGGTTTTTTCAGTGTAAAATACACTAAAATGAATTTTTTTTTTTAGGTTCACTTTTATTGAACAAATTTTCTTTGGTTCACTTCAATTGGACAAAAAAAAATTGATTCGCTTTTCATTGAAAGTTTTTTTTAGGTTTCGTGTTTAAACATTTTTCGAGAAGTAGTTTTTATTCTACCCCATTCATTGGAATGTTTCACGATTATTAAATGCCGACTAATGCTCAGAAGAAATATAAGAAATCAAATTCATAATAAAATATCTCCCACGAAGCCCATAGGTTTGAGGTGGCTTTCGTATATTTTACATTTGTTGTTATCATATGTAGTCCAGACGTTTGATATTTGTAACTTCAACGCTTACAAGCTTTGTAGTCAATTCTATATTTCAATAGTATCAATAAAAATGATACACTAAAACGTAACCTTTTATTTATCATAAAACTTTATTTAAAAATGTAAATTCAAACGAATGTTTATACACTTAATATGTTAAACTATGTACAATTTGTGAGTAAAAAGCTAATTTAACCAAATTCTTAATCCAAATCTTAATTTCCTTGCATTTATAAATGAATTTCAGTGTTTTTTGAAGCGTTGAACGGAATTCAAAGTATAAAATCCGTCCAAGTTCTCATTACAATATTCATCTATAACATATTCATTATTATCTAAAAATTCACCCCTACCAACTAGTTCAATATCAATAACTTCATTTTCCAGTTCTCTTAATAGGTTTGTTGTGTTTTTCAGTTGAATGCTCCACGTTGTATATGGACTGAGAATTGGCTGGTTGTTTTGCATTATTTGGTAGTAAGGACCATTTGGTTCACGAGGAGCTCTCTTCGTATCCAATAACAACATTTGTCCAATTATAAATGATTCGTCTGCTGGTGTGTAATATATTCGCTCGCCGCATCGATAGTAGCTATTGCCGATCATTTTCATTTCTACGTAAACTTTTTGAAGAGCTTTCTCCGCTCTTCTTCCTATTGCTTCATTTCGAATTTTCAGATTGATTCCAATTTGATTAAACTTTATTGCAAAGAAATCTACACCCTTGTTGATATCTGCTTTAAGGCGTATTTCTTTTCCATTTAGTAATTTTGAAACTTTACTTTTAATTTCATCATACTTCCATGTATAGAAAGGCGATCTATTTTGCTTGCCCTTTCCGAAAAAATCAACTTGATTATGTAAATAGTTATTGGTGTTTTGTAATTTGGATCCCCATTGTATGAGCGCTTCTTCCATTCTATCTATCTGTCTTATGGCTTCGTTTTTCAATGATTCCATATCTTCAAATTTCAAATTCGATGGCAGTGGAATATTTTTTGAAGTCATTTCTTTCAAAATCTCTTGTGCAAAGGGGAAATAATGTTGTTTGAATACATGAATCACTAGTTCATGCTCTTCGCGCACAAGATTCGTTTGAATAGTTAGGTCCAATTCTGTGATGGTGTCTTTTAGTGCGATGTTTGAAGAGCGAATCTCATGTTCTGATTGCACTTCGTATATGTATTCGGCAAATTTGGCTGTTTTGAGTAGACTTTCAATTTGATTGTAAACATCAATTATTGCATTTAATGAATCTTCTAGCTTTACGAAAAGAGAATTGAATTGATCGTGCATTGAAAATTCTTCAGTAATATCACTGAAAATATTCTTGAATATTCGTATTTGCATGCTGAGTTTCCATTTGTGAACAAGTAGATAGGCCTGCGACTGTCCATTTGCACTCTCATACAATTCTTTTATATATTGTCTGGCCTCGATAAACATTGTATTCACATTGTCATGAATTCGTTTTTCATTGTATTTCCATTTGTCTAAATCGGATTTCATTTTATCGATCGCTTTTTTAACCTCACCCATTTGTTTGTAATTATCTTTAATTTCTTTATACACACTATAGAAATCGCCACCAACGGTTAGAATTTCATCCACTCGATCCAATATATCGGCAAAGTTATTTTTCTTTGCTTCATCGGAATTGGACTTTTTGATTTCTTCGTTATCTTTTTCCAAAGCCTCTTCAATGGTTTTCAGTACTTCTAGCGGTAAAAATTCATTCTTTTCTCTGGCTGCATTTATTTGTGATTTTAGTTTATTTATTTCATTTAGAGTGAAATTGAAACTATCCTTACTCGTTTGAATTCTACTCTCAATATCAAAGAGTAGTTGACTTACTTCCTCATGTTCGTGTACTGGATGATCTTTCATGATTGAAGTAACTTCTTCGTCATTTCTCACAAGATTTGCTCTGGCACCACCATCTGTGAATGTGTTTACGATACCTTCGACAAACTCTAAGGCAGTCACTGCTGCACTCGCAACTGGAACAAATACTGATGTCACCGCAGCACTACCTTTCAATACAGAAAATACGCTCTTGATTGCCAATTTCTTTTCCAACTCTCTCCTTTCCAATTCAGCCTCTTGTAAGTTCTTCTCAGCGTCATCAATTACATTGTTAACGGACGTAATAATATCGTTTTTACCCTCATTCAAAATTGAGTTAATCTCTGTGATAATATCGTCGTTGATAAGTTGTCTTGCCGATTTTACCTGCTCGCTTATTGATTTTATGTATCGTTTTCGGACGTCTTTGATTTGTTTTTCTCTGCTTGCGTGATTCAAGTCATTCACGTGCTCTTTTACGAGCTTCATGTATTTCGGTAAATCAATGATCGTTCTTTGATGAGCAACACTTGATATGCTTTTACTGAGCGCCGCTGCTCCCAAATAGCTGAACACCGTTTTTTCTTCGTCGGTCAAATTGTGAGTTCTGACATACTCATCCATTCGAGTTACGAATGATTCATAGGCTGGACTGAATTGTAACTTCTCGCGCAAGTTAAAATAGTGGCCTTCTATGCTATGATACTCATTGATAAAACCATCCACATTATACAGTGATTGAACCTTTTTGTCTTCTTCCAATTCCTTTACAAATTCGCTAATGTCCGACTCACGGATTGAATGTGCCACATTTTTTCGACTATAAGTTTTATAGTCATTTATTGAATGTGATAGAGGAATTGAATTTAATTCGGCGAGTTTTATTGCATTTTCAAGGTCCCGTGTGCTCTTACCATCATTTCCTTTGTTCGCTTCGTCGCGTTGGCCAACCTCGTAGGTATCATTTGCCGAATCAAAAAATACACTCGCCGCACCTGGACAACACGGTAGCCGACCAAATGACACTTCGATTGTATTTCCATCTTGTGACGGCGATCCCCTCTCTCCACCCATTCCATTTCTTCCCAAGTCACCTATATCAAATTAAAAACAAGTAGAATTTATTGATAAATCGTATGAAAGTATTATTTGGTTTTAGCTTATTATTTTTTCAATATTAATTAGTAAAATATTTATTTTTTAATGACTTAGTTCAATATGCTCATTAACGCTACTCACCTTCTTTGTTGGACAATGAAAATTTATGCACAGAATTATTCAAGCCAATTATGTTCAATTCTCCGGCAAATCCTCCATTGCCACCGCGTCCACCGTCACCGCCATCACCCGGCTCAATGAATTTTAGTGGATAAACAATGTATTCCACGCTTGAATTTGGAACTACGGTGTAACTGAAATTGCCTTTTTGCCATAAATCAATATTTTTTTGTTCAACACTGATAAACATGCCACTTTTGCGTTCATAGGGTGGGGTTGTGCCATTTACACCATCACCACCTATTGAAGGTATGAAAAAATCATCGCTTAAAATATCTATAAGCAAAGGGAAACCAATTAATTTACATACCCCATCCACCGTTTTGGCCTGGACCGCCTGTACCTCCGTTCGCTTGAATTTTCAAACCACCACTGTTTGAGAACTTAAATGCAATGCATGAGAATTTACCAGCTGGGCCACCCGGTTTCCCTGCTTTTCCCCCATTACCCTTTGCACCCGAGGCGACTGCTTCATTTGGAGCGGGTACATCATGCGATTCACCAGATGCTCCATTTAAAATGATCGTTCTTTCGCTAACGACTTCCACTTCGGGTGCGATGAATAAAATTTGATTTTCCTTGCCAGTTTTATCGATATCAATGTCAACGAAAATCTTATTGAGTGCAAATACTCGAATGTGCTGGATTTCATTGCTGTTGATGTCATTTTTAAAGTCGCTCAATTTAACGTTGTATCCTTTCACTAATAATCGATTCGATGAATTATCAGACGTTGAGTTTTGAGTAACAAGTCCCAAAAGGGCATTGAACATTTTCAGTTTGTTGGAGTTCAGTATCATTTGTTTCAAATTGAATGTGTTTTTGGTTTGATCGATGCGTTTCGCATATTCCAAAATTTTAGTTTGACTAAGTTTGAATGAATTATTTTCTTTGCCTTTAATCAGAGCGGATACACTTTTAATCATGTCATTCGCTTTGCCGAATTCCGTTTTATTTTGCATTTTATATTCCGATAAAGCGGTGTGCACAACGTGCAAGAGCTTGTACCATTCGATTGTCTCAAAGAGGTAGATTTTGGTTTTCTTCACTGCATCGTTTTTCAATAGATTCGATAAAATGTCTTCGCTCGGTAGCTTTAAAGAAAAAATCGTATTTATGGTTGATTTGAAGTCATCAAAAATCTCGTCCGGTATTTCGATTTTAAGATCCGACACAAAACGGATGATTAAATTTCTGAACCTCCTGAGGTCTTTGGTGCTCCAAAGATCAGAGGAGCTGGATGCAAACAATCTTTCATATCCCAAAGTCATTGTTTCATCTATCACAGATAGATCCGAAGTCTTCTTCTCCTGATTCAAATAAAACTTTTCAATTTCTGCGAAAATGTCACTTGCTCTATTGATCAGCTTCTCTTTTAGATACTGTTGTGCGCCCAATTTTATTTTCAATTTATCTTTGCTATCTTTATATTTATCGAGATCCTTCACGAAGCTTTTGATTAGGATTTTAGTGTCGGGAAGGAATGACGACGGCGTACTTAAATTGGTCATTTGATTGAAAAATCCAACGAATTCAATATATTTCTCTAGGCTCTTCAACGAGCCACTGGCTCCATTGATTTGAAGTGAAGGTAAATCACGAATCAAACCTTCTGCAAGTGATCTATGACTTTCATATTGTATTTGAGATAATTTTTCACATGCAAAATAGGCGTTATTGTAGAGTTCAAATTTGTGTGTGTTATTTTTGGCTTGTTTTTCGAGCTTTTCATAAAATGATTTGATCCCATTTACAAGGGTGTTCACATCCTTTGTCAGACGCTTGACGAGATCTTCAATAATTTTTTGAACTTTTTTTTGTGTATTATCAGAGAGTGTATAGCCAAAATCGTCATCATCCTTTTTGACGAATGAGAGGCTCTTTATCATTTTGGTTATAGACTGTTTATCGAGATGTGGAGTTTTCATATCTTCCAACATTCCCAATTGCTTTACTTTTCGATGGATTCTGATGTGACTATATCTGCCTTCTCTGTCTTGTTGCAACAATATACTGAAGAAATCTTTGAGTTTCTTGTCCTTTACTGCATTGTCAGATTTCAATTTGTTCATTAAACTTTTAATTTTATCGACATTGGATCGAATCAATTGTTCTTCACTACTCGATGTATTATCAGGTACTTGAGTAATCACTAGACCAATTCCATTTCGATACTTGCCAAAGTTCTCAATAATTTTAAGTGACTGCATTACGAACTCTCTGAAATCGTCGACAGCAGTCAATGAGGTAATCGTGTCCACATGCAGCGTAAATATAAGTTTCACGTGTCTGGCGTGCTGCCACAATTTTTGAATCAGATACGTATTAGAAATGTCATACTTGATGTCGGTGTTTTTGTCGTAGTATCCGGGCAAATCATAATACACAATGCTATTTTCTCTGTCGTACATCCTTTCGGGGATAATGGTTTTTGCTATATTGGGGGACGTACCTATTTTGTCATCTTCATCAACAACTAGTAATTCACCGGTGGCTTCGTCTTTGACAGCCCGTAATTTATTGCCGGTGAGATGAAGAGTTATCGTACTTTTTCCGGGACCGGTGCTACCCAAAACCATTACAATATCTCGTTCTCGACTCAATGTAAAATTATCATAAATAATGTCTAGGTACTCCACAATTGCCGATGCTGAAATTTAAATATAAGTAATTGTTTAATACAAGGAAACAATTTAAAGAATGAAAAGAAAAGTGGGCAGGCACCAATATTATGAGTAAAAATCGAACTTAAATTAAATTTTATAAGATTTTGAACAGAGATGGAAATAATATATATGAATAGAACAAAGCATTCTTTAAGTTTGTTTTTTGAAAAACGACGATAGATATTTTTGAAATTAAATTGGCAAAGTCAATAAGGTGCAATATACTTAAAACAAATAGTGTTTTATTTTAAAATCTTTGATGAAGCATTCTCTGATTTGTAATAATTCAAATAAACCAACGAATACTTACTGTCGTCCGCTTTAATCTTATTGATGCAATTGCAGAAAGTGATCTAAATATGACAAGGCAAAAAATTCAGTCTAAGCCAGTTTGATACTTTTTATTAATTATAATCTAGAGTGTATAATCGACTATGCGAATGGTGAAAAAAATCGACATATACTTACAAAATGAATATTCAGAGAAAGATAGACAAAAATAACATTAAGTGGCTTCATTTTGTTCTCCATTTTTTGATCTTCACAGACACTGTGACTTTTCTAGTGCATTGTGTTGCTGCTTTTATACAATTTATATTTTTGAAAGGAATTTCACTACAAGCACATATTCCAATTCTTACATTTTAAAGGAATTTGTAATTTAAATGGTAATTTACACGTGTTTTTGCTAAGGCAAAAAACAAGACCTATTTATTTATTTAAAAACATCGATGAGAGCACACGTGGGATATTTGAGCAAAAATTCAATAAACATGTTTTGTTTTTGATCTAATTACGAAAACACACGCAGCCCCTATAGCCAAATTGTTTTTAATGGAAATTTTACACCATTTCGTAGAATTTTTCAACGTTCAAATCGTTTTTTTTTTAGTTGGGTGATAATTGGTATTCTCAAATTTTATATGTGATGATACCATGACACTAAATATGAAATGATCAATGGACCAATTACTTATATTAATGAGAGCTTTTCTAAAGCTATCTATTTTTTACTCAGTCCATTATTAGGTATACATTGGTAAAACAAATATACTTATCCATTACATTTAAAACGTAAATTAAATTATCCATTATATTAAAACGTAGTAAAATAATTGCTCAAACATTTTTTGTTACAATGAGGAAACCATTTCAATTATTCTCATTAAAGAATAGAACTTATTTGATCGAGACATTACGGAGACAATGAGATAATTTATCCAAATTGAAAGGTATTTGAATATTGTCAAAACAGAAAACAGACTTTGAAAAAGTACGATACGTTTAATTCTGTTGTAGAAATACTTCTGACAAAAGTTTGATGAATGCCACCGTCGGTTTTTAATTAGAATTTACAATTTAAAAAAATTAACAGAGCCTTCACGTATTACGTAATCGTCATAATAACAATGTTAATCTGGACCGTCCAATTAATGAGGATATTTGCAATACAAAAAAAGTTTTATAAAGGAAGCTTTCGGAGTATATGGGTTTAAAAAATTTAATTTTTATTTATTCAAAAAGTGATTCAATGATTTTTTTCAAAAATTTATCATAGTGAATTGCTTTAAAAGTAAAAAAGTATAAAGTAGTTTGTTTTTATTTTTTATTTTTATGGTCAGTTCCAATGTTATAGGAAGCAGTGTACCGATGATAAATGTTCTTTAGCCTAAGAGAGCATCGACTATGCCTTCAAGTAAGACATCTATCCCCTTAACAGCACCGCCAAGTAAACCACCAGTTAAGCCTCCAATAACGGATAACACACAGCCAACGACAACACAAATTGATCGCACTAAATTGTTAACTACTTGTGCTTCAGATACAAGCAAAAGTCCTGGCACAACCCATGAAATCAAGCCGATGAGAACGGAAACTGAAATGCTTCCACTAAATCCGCCCAATACATTTAAAAGGAGTGGAAGGACTCCTCTGATATTACCAATAACCCTTGGAATTTGTCTTGAAAGGGATACTCCACAAACGCTTGCAATGATTTGAAGGATTTCACCGAGGTTAGCATTTTGCTTCAATTTACTGAGCACAGATATAAGAACTGAAACATTAACTGGTCCATCGGCAGCAGAAAGTAGACTGGTAATTATACTGAGTCCAGTATCGGGAACTAAAGCAACAAGATTTAAAAGGTCAACAACGGCAGTTCCAAGCACATTGATGATAACGTCGATGCCAACCAATCCTCTTTTACCACTTAATGCGACAAGTATGCTCGAAATATTTACAGACAAATTGTAAATTGATAGTGAAATATCTGTAACTGCAAGTTTAACGCCGAACAATCGCCCGATAACGATGACAACAGGACCCAATTTACCAATTTTTTCTCCGTATAAAATTGTCAGAGCTTGCTTGATTACAGAAACGTCCACTTGTTTAGTTGATGAAAGCAAAGCGCCAAGAATGTTCAATATTGTACCAGGTAGTTCGGCTACCAAGTTCACAAGCCTATTGACAGTGATGCTCAGAAAGCTCAAGGCTTCGTTGAGGCTAACCAAACCAGTTTTACCTGACAAAGCAGCAAGAATGTTTGAGATGCTGACTTGCAAATTGAAAACGGCTGATGGGAAGTCCTTTGATGTAACGGTGATTCCGAAGCATTTGTATAATTCAATAAGCACTGCACCCAATGTAGTCTTGTCGCCAGCTTGTAACAATTTTTCGAGAACAGCTGTGATTTGAGCAATGCTGACTTGATTGTTTGTTGTGAACAAACCACTGAGAAGATTTACCAAAAGACCAGGAACGGAGGCAACGAGGTTCAATAGACCATTGACAGTGACGCCGAAAACGCTGAGAACTTCGTTAAGGCTAATCAAACCAGTTTTTCCCGAATAAGCGGCAAGGATATTCGAGATGCTGACTTGCAAATTGACAACGGCTGATGGGAGTCCCTTTATTGTAACGTTGATTCCAAAACATTTGTATAGTTCAATAAGCATTACACCCAGTGTTGTCTTGTCCCCAGCTTGTAACAATTTTTCAAGAACAACTGTGATTTGAACAATGCTGACTTGGTTGTTTGTTTTGAATAAATTCAAAATAACGCTTAATAGAGTCCCCGAAACTACAGTAGTTGGTGCGGTTGTAGTTGGTGCCGATGTACTTTTTGTTGTTGATGCTGTCACTTTAACCGTCGTTGGTTGAACGGTTGTTGGTTGAGCAGTTGTTGGTTGAACGGTTGTTGGTTGAGCAGTTGTTGATTGAGCAGTTATTGGTTGAGCAGTTGTTTGTTGAACATCCATATTCAAAAGTCCATTAACAAAAATGGCGATAATACTAAGAACTTCGTTGAGGCTGACCAAACCAGTTTTACCAGACAAAGTAGTAAGAATTTTCGAAATGCTGACTTGTACATTTAAGACGGCTGTTGGGAAGTTTTCTGCCGAAACCCGAATGCCAAAACAATTGTAGAGTTCGACGAGAACTAAAACTAATGTTGTATTATCACCACCTTCCAACAATTTTTCAAGAACAACTGTGATTTGAGCAATGCTAACTTGTGTGCTGGAATTGAACATACTTAAGAGAACATTAAGTGTAGAGTTTGGTACATTCGCGAGAAGATTTAAAAGAGCGGTGTTAGAGTTTCCGATTATATTAAGAATAGCTTCGATTCCAACGTATTCAGTTTGTCCATTCAGTGCTGAGAGAATGTTCGAGATGCTGACTTGCAAGTTGAATAGAGCTGATGGAATGCTACTCTTTTGAATTGTAACGCCCAACAATTTAGCGATTTCAATAATTAGTTGACCCAATGTATTAACTCCTTTGGCTGATAAAGTTTGAAGAAGAACTTTCAAAGAGCTAATGCTCACTTGGCTGTTTGTTTGAATCAAACTCAAAAATACACTCAATATAGTACCAGAAGTAGTGGCAGTAACTTGTTGTTTTTCGGCACAGTTCACAAGTATTGGGTGTATAAATTAATTTTGAGGGATTTCTACCAAATGGCGTAACTTGTACTGTAACGCATCGGACCATACTGTAACTTTATTCACGTGAAAGCCACATCATTTGACATTAGTTTTCAGAATGTGTTATTTTGTCAAAGTGTAAACAACATAATTTTTTCGCTTACAATCATGTCAGCATATGTGCCAAAAAAACCGCATTTGCGGGAAGTTTTACTTTTCTTCTTTAATTCGAAGAAAAGTGCCGCTGAGAGCCATCGATTATGGTCGAAAACTTATGGTTCTGACCATAAAATATTGATTAAAACATGCGAGTACTGGTTTTGACGCTTCAAAAGTGGTGATTTCAACGTGGAAGACCAAGGACGGTCAGGTCAGCCAAAAAAGTTCGAAGATGCAGAATTGCAAGCATTATTGGATGAAAACTCGGCCCGAACCCAAAAAGAACTCGCAATGGAGTTAAATGTAACTCAAGCAACCATTTCCGGACGTTTACATACCATGGGAAAGATTCGAAAGCTAGGAAAATGGGTACCACATCAACTGACTGAAAATCCAAAGCACGAATCACAGCATGCAGAGAACATCTCAAAGAACGCAAAAAACATAGTTTTTTGAGTCGAATTATCACGGGCGATGAAAAGTGGGTCTATTACGACAACCCCAAACGTAAAGGAGCGTATGTTGATCCAGGCCGACCAGGACCATCGCATTCAAAACGAGACATTCATTGTCAGAAGGTTATGCTGTGCATTTGGTGGGATCAAAAAGGTGTCGTGTATTATGAGCTGCTAAAACCAGGTGAAACGGTTACAGCCCAACGCTACCGCATGCAATTAATCAAAATGGAGCATGCATTGAAGATTAAACGGCCACGGATAGCGTCTAAACAAGACAAAGTTGTGTTTCACGATGATAATGCCAGGCCACATCGAGCAGACATCGTTAAAAAAAAAGTACAAGACTTCGGTTGGGATCGACTTGATCAACCCGCGTACTCTCCAGACCTTGCTCCTTCTGACTACCACTTGTTTCGATCGATGCAAATGGGCTTGTCCGAGATATCGTTTCGAAATACTAAAGGAGTGCGAAAATGGATCGATGAATGGATAGCCTCAAAAGATGAGGAATTCTTTCGACGCGGAATAAGAGGTGTAATGCGCTCAATAAGCGTAATGCTTTGTTTGCCGAACTTCGTATAGACAGTGCCATCTATATATAGAATGGGATATTATTTCACAAGTTTGAGAATGAGCGCATATGTTATTCCAAAAATTGTTGAAAAATAATTTAATAAATTGTTTCATTTTTTTGTTTTGAAAGTGAAGTTAGCACAATTAGCATTAGATAATTTCTATTTAAAAAAACATAAATTTATATGCGTTTTAATTTAACTTAAAAAGCCTCGGGTGTAGAGTGTGTAGATCTTGTAGAAATGATTTTGTTAAAATCTCCATACGTAAACTCATAAGTGTGAGTGTGACATTTGACAGATAGATACAAAACGTAATGTTATTGTTCTCTTACATACTTGTCATACACTCGTGCGAATTATTCTGTTCTGTTAAGTTCGTTTATTCCGTTCATTTATTTTATTTATATTCTTAATCTC